AATTCACATTGTGGTAAACTTCATTCAAAAATGGGGAGAGGAGGAAGAGGAGAGCAGTTACAAGAGGGATACCATGTGCAAAACTGTAAACCAGGCAGAGGGTTGTAGCCGACTCGTCTCCCCGGCCTCGCTCACCGCCGCGCCGGTAAAACCAAACCAGGGTTGGTTTGGGGTCCTCCACCGCAGCGTGTCGGCACGGCGAGAGGACACCGGCCATCTGCTGCTTGGAGCCATTAACAAGGATGGGAGAGTAATTACATCCTGATCCAGCCCCAAAACCTCTTCCGGAGCAACGGTCAGGGTCCAGGCACCGCTGCGGGGTCTCTCCGAGGCAGGGGGAGCGTCCCCCCGCTCGCCCTCAGGAGGAATCGCGGTCCATGCTGCACCCCAGGGCTTCGATGTCATTGCTGATGTGCGAGATCATTCGGTCCCACTCGTCCTCCTCCGAAGGGACGGACTGGTCGTCCGAGCTGCCGGCAGCGCCGTTGCCGTTGGTGGTGGAGTTGGAGGTGGTGCTCAGAGTCCGCCTGTACCTCCCAAAACTGTCTGTGATGATGCCCCGGCCGTCCTTCACCCCGATGGTCTCGAGGAAGTTCTCAAAGTGTTGGCTGTCCTTCTCGGGGATGAAGGGCCGAAGACCTGGATCAGGGAAGAAAAAATGCGAGGAGGAAATCATTAGCACCAGCGTGTGTTTTGCACGGCACGGAGACACCCGGGACGGGTTTCCACAGGGATTTGCTGTCTGAAATTCCCCGGGGCTTCTGCACCTTCCAGCAGAGCCTAGACGTCGAGGCCAGCTGCCATGTCGCACCCCAGCTCCCCGAAACGGCACAGGGCTGGGTGGAGGAGCGTGTTTTGGGGGACAGGGATGGCTGGAGTCTCTAGCTTGTGCCCCATCTCTCACTTACACCCCTGAGAACCGCAGCGGCTGCCCACGGAGGACAAAATCCTGCTCAAAAGGATCATCTGCTAATTCCACACCCAGACAGATTGCTAGGCTTTACCAAGCTCATCGCTGTAAGGGCGCCCGCAGCAGCGCAGGCAGGGCGGCCGCAGAACATCTGTCCCCTCTGCGCATCCCGTCCCTGGCAGGGTGGCTGTCCCCAGGCTGTGCTGCCCATTATCCTTTGAGGAGTTTAAGTAACCGACTCCTTTTTCTTTGCAATGAAAAGTCGGGTGAGGGGCCTCAAGGGCAACTGTTCAAGCTAAAGCTACTTAAATGTCTTTTCTCCAGCTGCCAGGCCAAACCTCATCTCTCTCCCTAACCCCTCGTGGTGTGTGTCCGTGCTGGCCAAAGCCAGCTTATCCCTGTGCTTCCCATAGTCGGGCCTGCCTTTAGGGCTACAGTCATGACCCCAACCCTTGGGAAAAAAACAAACACAAACCTCTGGGCACTCAAAAACTTGAAAGAAAAACCTTTACAGGAGGTTTCAGCATCAGCTGAGCCTGAGTGGAAGGTTTGCTGCTCCTCAGCTTCTCTCTCTGTCATTGCCCACCCCGGTGCATCCCAGGGGGAGCAGCCGGCGTTCAGCCCCGCTCTCTCCCGGGAGAGCACGGTGCCGGTGTGACCGCCCCGGCTGGGAAAAGCAAGTCAGAGCTGCCTTTTGGGGATGTGAGGCTGATCTGAAGTCAGCCTCCTGGCACGGCGACCTTACTATTGCATCGGCTTTGGTAGCGGTGATGTTAAAAGCAAGTCAGTCGCGTGCGCAACGCTGAAAGAAAACGCCTTTGTGCTGGCGGAGGCGCCCGGCTGCGCTGCTGGATGCCCAGGACAAAGGGAAGAGAAGCCGGCGGGCGAGAGAACGCGCCGACTCCAGCGAGCGACCCTCAGTGCTTTCAGATCTGCTTTTAAGAGGGTGAAAACACAAGGTATTGCTTTCCAGCGACAAGAGGCATCTCCCCTTTGGTCCCTGGGCTG